GCCGGCGCTCGGCGGGTGGCTCTGTTCCCTCCCATCTTTTGCCGAAGCCGACGCGGTGCATCCCCGGGTCCTGGAGAGCCCAGAGCCGCCCCTGCCCGTGACATCATGGTCCCTAGCCAATCACGGCGACGTGTCGGTCGTCTAGGCCTGTGAGCTCGGTGACGTCACAGCGCCGGACTGAAATCGGAGCCTAGGCGGGCTACCCTGAAAACGGCAAAAGCTCCTAGAGCTGTTTGTTAGCACATGTCTGGAGTTAGAATGTCCGGAAAGCGTTTTTCTGAAGGCGACCTAAACGCAAGGGGCACCCACAGAGAATTGTAAATAACTTGTACCTTGTCATAGGCTAGCAGTGGGAGACCTGAGAAAATCTAAGAGAACGGGTTTTTCATTTTCAGAAACGAAAATACTGTCCTCCGATTGATGTAAAGAAACGTTTCCCCTAAAGGCAGTTAGTACACACTGATATGAATATTCATTTGGAAGGGAAGATAAAAATCTTTGAAGGATTGTTTTTATCTTCTTGCCTTTAATATAAAGCTAAGTAGAACCAAATCTTGTAATACTAGCTTTAATATTAGTTTTAGTTTAAATTGCATAAACGATCGACTGCTAGTTTAGAGGAGAAGAAAGTGTATTTTAAAACAAGAGGACTTGGGCCAACAATTGCACCCGTTGAGTACTCGCTGGCTTCAGCTACCGGACAGGCACTACTGGATTGCAGAAAACGCACTGGGTACAGCTCTCCCCAGCAGAAACGGAATGACTACTAGCAGAGATAGAAGTCAGCATTCATTTTGCCAACATTCGATCTTTTGTCTTCTGAACCAGGCACCTTGCTGGCCCTAAGGATTTAAATATGAGTAGTTATTTGTAGCTCTACTCTCCAAGAGCTAGCTGATTAACCAAGGGAAGTTAATGACTTGCTGAAACCTTCACTCAGTAGAAGAGATGTGATACTGGAAAGCTGTCTCTCTTGAGCTTTTCTGGAGTAGGATATTTTGTTTGTTTTCTTGCTTGACAGTTTGGTTTATTAATTCGCACTAAATCTAAACATCAAGAATTCAAACTTGAAAGGAAAGCCATAGCATTAAAAAAGTTTTTTGTTTTTTTTTTTTTTTTGCATTTACTATTCAAGGAAGAGTTTGAGGGTTACATAACTCGGCTACCTTTGTCATCATCTTTTTTTTTTTTTTTAAGGTTTACTTATTTACCATAAAGAACTGGGTTACAGGCCTGAGGTGGAGGGGCTGTAAGAGGATTCACCAGAGAGACAGAGTGGGAAGCAGGACAAGCAGGTCAACAAAGTTGAGGGGAGCAGCAGGCTAGACAGGAGAGGTCTGCTGTGCCATGTGAATCACCTCCAGGGGAGGGGATTGAGCTTGCACTTTGATGGCTGCTGCCAGCTTGCAGTGCTGTGTCCTAACCTGTTGTATCACCAGAGAGGATCTACCTTTGTCTTCAAAACATGTTTGTCTTAGGGCCCTCCCTGGTGGTGCAACAGGTTAAAGCACAGCACTACAAAACTGCAGCTGCTTCACCAAGAGTTTGATCCCCGACCCACAATGGCACAGCAGACCTCTCCTAACCTGCCTGCTGCTCCCCTCAGCAGTGTACCTGATCAGTCTGCCTGTTCTGATACCCACTCTGTCTCTGGTGAATCTTCTCACACCGCCCCTTCACATCTCTGGCCTGTACCCCAGTTATTTATGCATAAATAGATAAATCTTAGAAAAAAAATGTTTTCCTTAGGGTCAGCAAGAGGGTGGCTGGGAGAAAACGTCAGGCTCACCTCCACCATATACTCACAAGTAAAAAATTGCAGCAGAATAAAGTCAATATTGCCTGAAAGACAAATTCACCTGGTAAACGTTTTCCTTTTATATGTCAAGGAAACAAATAATTTGACTACTTTTTATTCATTTAAATACATTTAAATACATTATTCAGTCATTCTCCTGCTTGCCCCTATTTCCAACTAACGTAGTTTCTCTTGTTTCCAATATTTTAACATAGTCACACCTTCCTTCAGTAATACAGAACACACACAACTTCCTTTTCAATAATATCCCATCGGGGTATTGAGAAAGAAGCACAGAGTTTACAGAAATAAAAACAACAACTAACATTTTCCTATTTTTTTTCATTCTGATGGCTATAGTTCTGCTTCTCTTTTTTAAAAAAAAAATTTTTTGTGACTGAGATTTATCAGTTCATTAGTCATGTTAGTTCATCCTTTAAAGAAGTGCCACCAAGAACATCAGTCCAAAACTACTACAAATATATGTATTTTCTAGAGGAAAGGCAAATCTGGAGGTATTTGCTTAACTGGAAGCTGCATAATGATATGTCATTATACTAAGCAGAATGATCTCTGATGATACATTGTTTAGTAAGATACAGACTACTATGTCTTCCTACACTGTATTCCAGTCTTGCCCTGGATAGAAAGAGGGCAGTTAAGATCTGTGACTCGGTGGAAAGGTTTGGTGTTAGAAAGACCCAAATCATGACTTGGCTACTTATTGTGTGACCTTCGGCAGGTTAACTACCTCTCCAAACCTCAGTTCCCCCACGTGTAGAAATGGAATGAGAGTGTATATTCCACTTCTAAACTATAAGGATTTGAACATATGTATTGTATGGGAGCTTTAGAAAATGTGGGGAACTTGAAATATATTCAAGGTTCTTACAGTAGTGGTCCTTTGGTTAAACTGTGTGTGGAGGTATTGATTCATTTTATATGTTTATTGAAACAAGTATGCATATTAAACATGTTAAGATGTATCAATTAAAAATTACATTAAGTTGCTAATAAAAATTTTGACTAAAGTGACTTGAGCCAGAACAGAGTTTATCTTCATTTCACAGGAATGGAATCTGGAGGCAGGCATTCAGGGGCAAATTTGCCCCTCCTGGTTACTAGAGCTCAGTCTCTGCCCTACTGTCCTTAGAGTGTGGCCTCCATCCTCAAAGTTGTGTTTGTTCCAGCCCCAGCTCCCAAACCCTTCCAGTAGTCTCGATTATATAGTCCTATTCCTAGGCTTTGTTTTGCTAGCTTCTGTGTTTTGTCTCTATATGATTGCAATCATCAGGTATTTGTTTTTCTCCTTCTGATTTATTTCACTTCACATAATCCCTTCCAGTTCCATCCATATTGTCACAAATGGCAATATTTATTTATTTTCTATTTTTTTTTTTATAATTGAGTAGTCTTTCCTGGTGTATATATGCCACGTCTTCTTAATCTGTTCCTCTGTCCCTGGACACCTAGGTTGTTTCTATCACTTGGCTTTTATAAATAGTGCTGCAATTAACATATAAGTGCATATAATCCTTCAAATTAGGGTTTTTGCACTCTTTTATTTAGACAGCTAGAAGTGGAATTGTTGGGTCATATGGTAGATCCCGTTTTAATATTTTGAGGGAACTCCATACCATTTTTTTATAAGAGCTGAATCATTCTCTAGAGCAGGGTACAAGGACTCCTTTGTCCTACACATGCTTGCTAACATTTGTTGTTTTTGTTTCTGTTTTTTTATGTTTGTTTAATTTTTAAAATATGGACTAGTCTCGGCGCCCTCCCTGGTGGAGCAGCAGGTTAAAGCACAGCACAAGGAAGCTTAAGCCACTTCCGCATGAGTTCAATTCCTGCCTGCCCCGGAGGAGATCCACATGGCGTGGCAGACCACTCCTGACCCGCCCGCTGCTCCTCTCAGCTGTGTACTTTGTCGATCTGCCTGTTCTGCTCCCCACTCTGTCTCTGGTGGATCCTCTCACCCTCCGAACTCTGGCCTATACCCCAGTTCTGTACGAATAAATAAATAAATCTTAAAAAATATATATGGAATAGTCTCATGGGCGGGCGTAAACTGGTATCTCGTGTGGCTTTGGTTTTCATTTCCCTGATGATAAGGGACGTTGAACATTTTTTTCATGTGCCTGTTGGCCATCAGTATGTCTTTTATGAAGAAATGTTCGTTTAGCTGTTCTGTTCATTTTTTCTTGAGTTTTTAGTTTTCTTTATGTTGAGTTGTGCTAGTTTTTTGTAAGTCTTGGATATTACCTGTTTGTTGGATGTATGAAGTTTATATAATTTATCCCCTTCAGCAGGGTGTCTTTTTGTTTTTAAAGATTTATTTTTATTTTTTCATGCATATAAAGACTAGGTCCAGGCAGAGGTGTGGGGAAGCCGGTGAGAGGACTCACCAGAGACAGAGTGGGAAGCAGAACCGGTGGATCTACTGAAACACAGTGCTGAGAGGAGCAGTGAGCGAGACAGAAGATGTCTGCACACCTCTCTGGTCAGGGATTGAACTTAGGTTTCAGCTATGATAGCCTAAGACTCAACCCATAGGACATTGGGGGAGGCCCAGGGTGTCTTTTTGCTTTAGTGCTTATTTTCTTTCATTGTAAAAAAACATTTTTGTTTGATGTAGTCCCATTTATTTTTGCTTTTGTTTTCCTTATCATTGAAGTTGATTCCAAAGACATCTGTGACACCAATGTTGTGGAATATTTTGCCTGTTTTCATCCATGTATTTTATGGTTTCCAGTCTTACATCTAAGTCTTTAACCCACTTTGGGCTAAACACTTTTGTGTTTG